ACACCGAGCTACGCGCCGCTACAAGTGCTACGGTCAGCTATACGGTGTGACACCGAGCTACGCGCCGCTACGAGTGCTACGGCAAGATACACAGTGCTACACCGAGCTACGCGCCGCTACAAGTGCTACGGTCAGCTATACGGTGTGACACCGAGCTACGCGCCGCTACAAGTGCTACGGTCAGCTATACGGTGTGACACCGAGCTACGCGCCGCTACGAGTGCTACGGCAAGATACACAGTGCTACACCGAGCTACGCGCCGCTACAAGTGCTACGGTGAGCTATATAGCGCTACACCGACCTACGCGCTACTCCGAGTGCTACGGCAAGCTACACAATGCTACACCTAGTCATGCGCTGCTACGAGTCTAACAAATTATAAAAACGTAATGCATAAAATAGTCTAATCGCACTAATAAACGAAACTCACAAAGTAATAAAAAATGGTTGCAAGTAGATAGATAGACCTCAAAAATGATAACTACGACGGTTATGATGTTAGTAGTAATTTAATCAATTACACTTCGTCAAGCGGTAGTACTCGAAGGATGTTCTCTTCCATGGTGCCGAAAGACCAGTAACCTAGGACCCCAACCATCATGCTGACCACAGTGGGCACCAACATCCCAACGGGAATCACGCCAAACTTGCTTGTCATTATCCTAGGATTCACCAAATTTTTGTCCAGTTGCAGGATCTGCAGAAATGGCGAAAATATTAGTATGTCGGATGCTACACATCTTTGGGGCTATTCGTATTTTAGTCGTTTTATTACAGTCGCCTGTGTAAACCTCACAGTCTTCTCGTCCTTAAAGTCTTTTCTGAGACGAAGAAAAAACGGGAACTGATTGATCGATAGTGAATTTTGGAATAAAGTAGGCCATCATGTACCATTATCATACCATTTTTGCTCTACAAGAAACGAGTATTATGCAATCTGTTAGTGAGTGATTGCAATTTTTGCTGTTTGGTATAAAGTAGACATACATTTTCTATATTTTTGCTCTTGAGAACACAAATACCATTTAAAATATTTGGGAAATACGAATTTCAATTGAATCCCTTACCACACCGACTGCACTTAAGTTACATAAGTAAGCTCCACACGCGTATAGTATGGGCATCAATTCTTTAGCTGCGTACTTGTATATCTTCACAGGGTCACTTAATGTCTGGTATATCACCAGTACTAATCCCATCAAATTCAAAATAGTACCTAAAATGGACAGAATAATTAAACATTTTCTAACCCTGGATACCTATCGAAATTACGTGGTACTTTAAGCATTTTGGAAAACTGAAAATCCTTTGATACATTGCCTTAGTCTTTTGGGAATTGAATCATCAAGTGACTCCCCCTAATTTAAGTTAGGCGGACGAGTGTCAGACTCTTATTGACAAATAAGAGTTCCTGTTCCTATTTTTGTTACGAGATGGGGACGTTGTGACTCATGGTGACTTTATACGCAATGACTTCAAGCAGTCTTCTGCTTTTAGCACGTATGAGATATTCATCAAAAAGTATATATTTTTAATGAAATCACCTGCTGTTGCGGCGCCTAGCGCCTTTCCAATAGCAAACCACAACTACATGTATGATTGCCAGTTTAACAATCAGGCGTCGCGGAGCATGTTAAAATTGCTAGAAGGGTAGCCATTCATTCTCTCAGCGTCCGCTCCACTGTTAACACCCTATTTTAATTATATGTTCTTTTATTGTAAAAAAGGGCTTTTTATTGCTCCATTGTGTACCCAAATATACACCTGCCAATGCGATGTAACTGACAATGGACAAGGTTTTCATGCAAAACTCCAATAATAGGAAAGGAGGCAGCAACGCTAACAGTGCTGTATTATTACTCTGCCAGTCCATGAGCTGAAACCAACTAAGTTACATTAAAGATATACCGTCAACTTATAATTCTAGTCTAGTAGTAAATATTTTCATAAGTGACGTTATGAGTCTTATGTTAAATAGTTCGAAATTATATAAATGGATAATTCCATTAGACGACATGTTAATGTGGGCATTGAGAGTAGTTTATCATTACAATTATGACATAGTGATCTGCCGGAATATGTATCCACTATTAAACTCAACAGTGGCCTATATATACAACGTAAGTGGGGTTTGGCGAGTGTAGGAAGATTTAATTAAAGAAATAAACTTACATCTCTCACACTGTCCGAAGTTAAAATTACGAAAATTGTACAAATTCCAAGCTGACTCATAAACATAAATATTGCTATAATTTGTCTGAAATAAAATGAAAAACAAACAAACATTACTTCGTCCTTCCCATATCCGCAAAACAATATACCTACAAGAGAATACGCAAGAGAAACAAGATAAACGAGAATATAATGAGCAAATAGCTAAACCTGATCAGAGACCATTCCACTTCCGAGGAAGTTAAAATCTACGATGTTTTCAATATAACCAAACAAGCCTTGGACTGGCTGGAATCTCCTGGGGAAACGTAGTGTGGCTGTCTCCATAAAACCTGACGTTACACCGAACGGTGTGATGGGTAACGATAATCCGTGAGCGTAAGACGACGATGGCGAGGACTTCTACAGACGCTCACTGCTCCGACAAGGGCACATATAGAATAAAATTATGTAACAACAGTTACTTACGGACCACGTTTTCCAATGCCGTTGAAAATGGGCGGACCATGAAGCACTGCCAACCGAAAGCCATATCTATACGATATATATGGTATTTTTAATTGTCTAGCTATTTCAGTAAGACTTTTTACCTGGAAGTATAATCAAGTGTTAATATTAGTGGCATAACAAACAGTTTGATAGAGCAAATAAAGTGTTTTTATAATAACTATCGTGAGACATACTAAATTAAGTAAAAACGCGGGTTACTCACGTGAATATACTGAGAAAAGCTCTACTAGTTTCGAACCACAGAGGGGTTCTTCCTCATGAGCAGCGTGCGACGTCGCCGCGACCGCGCACGCTGCTCATGAGGAAGAACCCCTCTGTGGTTCGAAACTAGTAGAGCTTTTCTCAGTATATTCACGTGAGTAACCCGCGTTTTTACTTAATTTAGCAAATAAAGTAAGAAAAGGAATTGTGGGTTGCGGAGCGTGCCGTGGTGAAGATTAAAAATCTACGCCAGCATTTACAGCTTAAACTAAAAGCCGAAATTAAAACTCAAAAAAATTACATACCAACATGATGTGTGTATGTACGAGCAGTAGTCCATAAGAAAGCCCCAGAATAGGTCCGAAAATGAGACCGGTCTGACTTATTGCTAAAGGCATAATCAGTACACCGGGGCCAAATAGAGACCTCACTATGTTGAAGTACGCCATCCATGGTCTATAGATGGAAAAATCGGGTTAAATTGGTTTTACTTGTGAACTACGTCCTCTACTGTTACAAGTTTTAAAATGAGTAAATAAGGCCCAAAATCCTCTGATCTTGCTGTCGTGAAAATAAAAGAATCATGTATGTCAATGATTTTTATGTTCTGCGTTCTTTGAATCATATTTCTCCGATTTTGAGGTATAATTATTGCCCTCCTTTACTACCGGTGAAACTATAGGTAAGAAATAAGGTCTACTCTTACTTTATGGGGGTTTGAGGATTCCTGTGATCCAGTGGATCATAACCATCGTCAGCAGGAGTTACCGAAGGTAGCCGGGTTCTTCTAATATCTATTTTTTCCAGAAAACCATCTGGCTTCACATGTAATACACTAACTCGTTCAAATGCCGCCCTGTAATTGCAAAATGCAGGACTCTACATTTAAATAATTATAGCATTCGTCCTTTCAAGAATGCAAAACCTAGCTTATGGGGTTGTAGTTATTGTGAGATAAATAGTCCAATTTCAGTTAATACAAGAAAACAAGATTATACATATTGGCACTTACATATAAGGCTTGTAATATAAAATGAAATAGATATACTTATAAAAGATCTTTCTTTAATAATTCTACAATTAATTAATTCTTATTCAATGTTTTCAGCGAAGACTTTCAAGGACGTCAATCAAAGAGTATTACAATAATAATTATTATTAAAGTATTATAATAGTTGTAGGTACTTTTTTTTTTAAGGGGGGAAAATCATCGAATGACTGCCCCCGCCTGGGTGAGGCGGGAGGGAGTGTCAGACTCTTACTGACTAAAAACCACCCCGTTCCTTCTCCTGCACGTCGAGCCGGAGCCCCGGTTACCCGTTAGGTTCTCCGCGACTCCGAATCGGCATCGGCCCTATTGGGCCCCATCTGTGGTGGTCTGATGGCTCTTTGAGGCGCGCGCGGAACGCGACGCGCCGTACGCTCGGGTCTGTTTCTGGTCGGACGGGGAGCCACCCATGCTCGCCGTCCGCAGGCCCGCGCTTACGGTGGCCGGAGATCGTCCCGCGATCCCCGACGCCCGGTGTGTCCTTCGCGATGGCTGGGTTGCGAGGAGGCAGCGCTTCGCTGCCTCACGCGTCCCGCCTCCTCCTTAGCTAGCATGACTGCTTCGCAAAAGGAGGAGACGGCATCCCAATCCCCCTCGCTCCGCATCATGGCCTGCACTAGGCCCGGACGCGAGAGGTCGCCATCGCCGATCACTTCCCTGAGGACACGGCGGTGCTCAGCCCACGAAGGGCATTCTCCCACCGTGTGTTCCACCGTGTCCTCAGGGCGGTCCTCGCAGTGATGACACCCGGGCGTTTCCTCCCGCCCCATCAGACACAGGTACCTCCCGAAACTTCCATGTCCGGTGAGGACCTGCGTCAGGCGGTAGGTGAGGACGCCGTAGCGTCTCTCAAGCCACTCCTCAAAGAGGGGACTTACCGCTGCGATGGCAGCGAGCCCAGCCCTCGGTTGCGACAGTCGTTGCTGCCATTCCGCCATGAGATCGCGCCGGAGCTCATCCCGCCACGCACTTATCTGGCGCGGCAGTGGAGTTTCGCCCCGGCGACGTGCCTCCGCGCGCATGCTGTGCACGCGCGCGAGCACCTTCGCCTCGCGAGCACCTTCGCCTAAGTTGTAGGTACAGGGATCCCCTATACTTATTATATTCTTTGCAGGGGACGTCCATTAAGTCAAGATCAGTCAAGATGACAAAATTGAATCACAGAACCCAGAACAATACAGAATACAGAAATCGATTACAATAATAACTTATAACTCATCTAAAATTTACCTCAACATCACCTCTAGTTTGAACACATTTTTATTTTCGTGGAATCACCTGGATTTATTGGAAGATTTAGATTTTTATATTATTCAAAACAAGAACACGTTAGTCTACGATATATCATTCTTTGTAAATCCGCAGGTTGTTGACAGCTGTTATTCTATCTTGTCTACTGTTAAAAATGACAGCAGCTGGTGGAGATTGATATAGGTGGAATTGCTGTATTTCGTTAAAATCCTTTCATGATCTTTTATTTTATATTTTTTATCCTAAGTCTCAAGAATGATGTCAACAACAGAAGGCGAGTTGGACGTTGAAGTTCCTCTGGACAGGGAAGAAGGGGAGGTTAGAACTAACTTTTACTTTAAACATTTTCGATCTTTTAGTTACATAGCAGTTTTTTGATGATGCTTTGCGATTAACAAGAAATAAAGCATATTTTTAGTCAGCTTAGTCAGTGGCCTACCATCCTGTAATCGTTGTAGTGGGTAACATTAACAAGAAAACAGTGTATGACGTCTTAGGGCGTACGCGGTAACAGAGATTTTATTGCGTTGCAGTTGGTGGATTCGGATGTGGAAGAGGGTACTTACAAACCTCTGGCGAGGCCTGAGGCGTTCAACCCTCCTTCGTTAGTGCATATGCAGATACAGGATGAGCAGAGCGACGAGGGGTCGCCGCGGGAGTCATCAGGGTCGGAATCTGATGATGAGCCGCGGCGCCGCGCCAAGCGGACCAAGCTGCGGCCACGCCGTCCTCCACCACAACCAGATAAGAAGAACAAGTATAACATTTGGTGCAAGGCTTTACAGGTACATGGTTTATTATTGTATTTCTATTAAGATAATGACTTGTGAATGTGGATATTAATAAAATCAAGATGGTTTGTTCAGTAGAGATAAATATTAAGCATGTTTTGTAACTGGACACTGCTAAAGATTTCTAACACTCTGAAAGCCTGTCAATGTATTAAACTATAGTAGACTATACAAATTTATACACTTGAATATTCTTGTTTAGCTATGAAACTCCTCTCTGTTTGCAGGAAGACTTGTTAACAGAAGACATGGTGAGCTGTGATGTATCAAAGAAGAGCAGATATGGCGTTGAGTCTTATGATTATACTATTAAGTATAGATTAGATGATAACTTTATTAATAAGAAGAAAATATTCACGAATAACGATGACTATGATGATAGTGAACGAGTTTCTAATAAACGGAGGCATGAGGATAGATCTAATGTGAAACTAAGGCTTGGGAAGCGAGATAGTAGTCACAATCGTAATGATAAATTGAAGCCTCGGATTCTTGGGGACCTGGTTGTTAGTGCAGAAGATACTGCGGAACATATAGCTGACGAAATAGCTAATAATTTGTCAGAAGATAAAAAGGATTTAGTTGGTATGTCTTATTAGATTTATGTAGCGTTTTATGGATATAGAATTGTCAGCCATTATCTTTTGTGTCAAATAATTAATAGTACTATCTTAATAGTTATGTTGATAAACAGTATAAGTAGACTATAATATCAACAAAAAATATTACTGTAAGTATAGAGGTCCAAATTTGGTCTCTGCTTAGCAACAAAACTGTTGAACTTAGACTATTTAATTTTGTTTATATGATTGTTATGAGTATTCCTATTTCAGGTCGTATTGTACAAGTAGTTGGTGCTAACAAGGCTATAGAAATATATAAAGAAACACAAAAGTTAGAGGCGGATGGTGGTATGCTTGTTATGGTAAGTCCAATTCAAGTAATTTCATTTTAAGTGTTAGCTGGGGCCTACAATGTAGGCGCATCGTGGGGACCTTTTGTATTCTTTAGTACTTTTATCTCATATCTCATCCTATTTGTGAATGTTTGTGTCTAATAATAAATTTATTTCTTTTTACTACCTCGTTGGCCAAATGGTCGCAAGTGCGACCGGGCGAGAAAGAATTCTCAGTAATAGCATGGAGTATGAAATTGTGCCTAGTATATAGCAATAGGCTCACTCCCTATTACATGGAACTCGTAACATAAATAGTGAAAAGTGGGTGTTACATTGTACAGACAGTGGCATAATGTACACTGCCTACCCGTTCGGGGATAAAAGGCGCGATGTTATGTTATGTATTTCTTTTTATGCCAATGGGTTTTCGATGCCCTGTTGGTACTCTAGAGCTAAGCCTCGTATTATTATGACGCCATTGGGCCTCACAAACAATATTATCAAACTGTATGACCATAATATTGATTTATGATCTAGCAACCTACAAAAGGTTGATATCGGCATAACTAACTCGCCTACCGCAACACATAGCTATTAAAATATTCCCAATATAATATTATGTAAACTTTATGTTGCTACCTCTGTGTCGAGTGACGTTTTCACGGCGCTGTTCACGACTCATACTCACTCACAGGTCCACTTTCTCAAACCTAGAGTTTTTCGGTTTTCGGCGTTAACGAGATAATTAACCGTACAATTAATAATTCCTTTCAGAACGGTACCCGTCGCCGGACGCCAGGGGGCGTGTACTTCTTCCTACTGAAGCGTGACGGTGACGTGTCGCAGGAGATGATCAACCAGATCTTCAACGAGGACCGCAAGGAGACGCAGCGCAAGATCAAGCGAGCGCGAGCCAAGAGCCGTCAGACTGTCATGGAACAGCTCAAACAGAGCCTCACAGGTACTATTTGTATCCCATTGATTTGAGAAGGCAGAGAAAAGTAACTCCAAATGACAAGTTGCACATACCTTCATCTGTTATCAGTTTCTTTATGTTTACTCGTCATATCGAAATATAGTGTACATACACCAAATCCTAATGTGATTTATTAGTAAAATATCTAAAAGCATGCAATATTTGGTCTAGATTCGGAGCTGCCGTCGTTGTTATCACGTGGCGAGGCGACAGTGCAGTCGGAGCACGGCTCGAACCCGCCGCCGTCGCCCGCGACAGACGCGCGCGACTGCTCGAGCGATACAGACGCGCCATGCGATGCTCCGCCGCGCTCCCCACGCGACTACGACGACGACGACTTCCTCGAAGTCATGTGTAACGATGACATGGACATGTTCTAGGCGTGGACCCGCCATATCCACGGACTCATTGTTCCAGCGAACTGCCAACATAGGTTAAGGTCGCCGGTAAATCCAAAGTTGTGTACTCGAATAAGCGCTTACCGGCCCGGTCCGCACTATAAGTGCCCGCGACCCGCCGACCTCTACGATGACGCTGCATGGTCATCTCTGCCCCATAAGAAGATCCTCGTTTTAATCCTAAGGGCGAGTGTATATGTAAGTCGTTTTAAGAGTGATACAGTTGACGATATATTATTTTTGGTGAATCCTACACATAACAATTGTATTGTAAACACAGGGAGATCTTTATCACAAATAGTATAAAGTAACCATCGGGTATTTTTATGTATTAATTTGAAAGCTATTTGAAGTAGTCTAACAAGAACACTGAGAAGCCAGTTGTAGAGTCTGTTACAATATAATTGTGCTTTAACATTGAGTTTCCACTGGTACATGAACTACACTTATAATTTATTGCTAATTAGTTTGTAGATCGGACATTACGATTTTTGATGACGCACTATTTCCAACTATACTTTCTCGTAACGACTTTCGTTACTCAAATACTATTTATATTTTCGTAGTTGTGCAGTGTCTCCCAATCATGAGACGGTGGAATTAGGTCAGACTGACGACTGGGGCTGTCCGGCAGCTTCTTACTAACTTTTGTATTAGACGTAAGTACGTAAAACTGCCAATATTTAAACGATTATAGTGTACTTTCCTGGGGACGCTCAAGAGTTTGCTAAGTCTAATGGTGCGAAGAATTAACTTGGAAGTGTTCAGTTCCTGTGTCGAGTGCTTGCGGGTGTTGGAGTAATGTATGTTAGGATTGGCTCGTAGTATTACTAAAATATATGTTTACAAGCAAAACGTAATATATTAACCAACATTATGAAAATGTCTAACTTCTGTAGTTTTTGCAATCAATGGACATTTTTACGGGAGTTTAGTGACTATATCACCATAGTTGTTTTCATGTTGCACTGAAGTTTACAGTTGAAATATTATCACTAGTTGTTAAAGTGTGGGTTTATAGGTAACTTCATGAAATAGATGTTTGTTAGCTCACATACCGGTACCATTTCCTTTTAGACAAGTTCACAGTTTACTACTGGCATGATGTAATTGTAGGGCATTTTTAACTTGCTACTATATTCCACTAATATTGCCAATAGGATTGAGTTTATAAGTCAAAACCATTTAACTATGTGATATTTAAATGCATGCATTTGTGTGAAAAGCGCCTAAATAAGTATAAAGCTATTGATTCGATGGACTCTACCCTGTATAAAATATTTATTAATATTCTTTGATCTCAAAAACTGAGGAGGAATTGGTTTTATATATAACTGTAGCAAACGTCAAACTTAGAGGTGCATACATACGATTCAATAATATATAATGATGTATAATATTATATTATAAAACCTGGGCATTATGGTGTTCATATCCGCCTATAAAATTATTTTTGTTACTAAATAAACTGATTGTCTCTGGTTCATTATTGAGCTGTATAATAGCTGTAGAGGTAGACAATAAATAGCTAACTTTTTTTATGTGGCAATATATTCTGGGAGTGTGGCAACACTACAAATTATTCAGCCAGTGTCTGCTGCTCTCCTTGGTAATGCCTCCTTGCCTTAGAAAGCAGGTACAATAGGTACCTGTGTATGTTACAGGTACACCACAAGATTGTATGTAAATTGGCTAATTGGTCATATTCTAAGGTCAATTTCAAAAGTAGGATAAGCAAATAAGAATCTTGTTGGTCTAACTGTTTTATACAACTTGTGTATATTATAGATTGTTGTGTTATATCAATTACTATGTATGTATCGCCAAAATGTTGAAAAGGTCTGTGCGAATGTACTTGGGAGCTATTGACTGTCTTTTATACTGAAGATCATTGGAAGTGTTGTGATGTTGAAAATGTACAGTTATCTGAATGTTACTGATAGACAGACTCTCGGAAATAATTTGTATAATAAAATTGAGAAAAAATTTACTTTGTTTCAATCATTACAGAATTATTCACTTGATAAGTAGATATTATGACCAGCCGCGTCGTGAACTCTTTGCAGTACTCGGCGGGAGTAACCTGTCACTGTCGACTGTTGTACGAGTGAGCTATGGTCGACAGCGAGAGCGTATGGGACGGAGTCGCTTCCTTTTGTGAACAAGTCATGTTGGAAAAGGAAGCGGCTGAAAGGGAGAGAGAGGCGTCAAGTCCTCTCCCCTCTCGCCGTAGACGCGCCGGTCGTCAGCGCCATGAAGCGGCAGCCGATCTGCGACCTCCATGAAAGGAGAGGCCTGCGGGCAACTGACCGGGGGAGTCAGACGTCCGCTATATAGGCGGGAGTAGGCGTTAGCGTAGTGTTCCACGCGCGCTACTCGAAGAAGGAAAGCAGCCTCCTAGGGCCGCTAAGGTGGCGGGACCTGCCGCAAACATAGCGGTAGGTCGAGGCCTGCCGGGTGTGGTGATTCCGTAAGGGCAACCCGGGTCACGGTCACAGGCAGTGAAGGAACACCGCGGTGGTTTTAGCCGGTATGAGTCCGGCACGCCCCCTCCTCGTCCCCATGGCGCGGGAAGTCCATGAGGATTTCCATCGCGATAGAAAAAAAAAAAAAAAAAAGTGGGTTAACAATGCCATTCTAAACCTGTGGCAAATTTATCAGATGAATCGCCATTACAAATAAAAAAAACCAGATAACTTCAGATGCAAACTTCTGAAGGGGAGTCCCTTCCAGGCAGGAGCCCGAGGCATTTTGCCTTATCCCTATACTTACAATACACTTTGCATTTTGCCAACTTGAAAAAAAAAACCCTGTAGTTGTGGCACTAATTATGACTGCATTATATTTCTGTAACTCTTACAAATAAGGAGCAATAAAACAAGTCAATATAGTTAACTATAGGTTAAAATAGATTTTATTGCTTTCATCAATAATTAACAACCAAATGAATGAACAACAGCGTTAGATAACTCTTATTAACACATAACTTTATAATTTTTACATCTAGTGAACAGTTTACATGAAAATATTAAAAAATAGAGTCTTTTATATGACGCATGAAGCTAATACCTAGGGAGGTAGGAATGGGCAAAAGCTGCTTTTGTCATAGCAAGCAATAAGTACTACCTACTAAATAATTTTAAATACTTGTACTATTTGGAATATCCGAGTATGTCATGTTTATAAATAATACTGGGGGCTGTGATGTGTTGGTTTCTTTTAGGGGAAATCCAGCATCTGTAAAAGAAAAACTATTTTTTTTAAATATTCTTAAATAATTACGGCAGTGTACTCAACGGGACATTCTTAAAATTTGTATCTATTCTATGAAGGTTTCTTGTCATCATATGAGCCACAAGATAGGTTTCTCCTAAGACTTTCAGATAGGTCAGTTGCAACCTGCACCCAGTAGCGCCCTGCAAGGCTGTAGCCAAATGCCATTTAGCGCTTGTCTACATGTAGAATAGAAAACTAAATTATATGGAATTGACATAAATTTTAACATTTGTCAGTGTCATCCCCATACATTTAGATTTCTACTCTCTCTGTAGACAAGCGCTAAAGTGGCGTTTTGCTAAAGGCACTGAATTATCTCGTTTGTCTACTTAGTATGTAGATAGCTTATGCTGCTATGGCTATAAAGCTGTAAATAGGTAAATAAGATCCAACTCACCAGCTGAGGCAGGCACTTCTCAATGTGTTCGATATCAACTCTGTCGCAGCTCTCGCGCAGAGCGTGCGTGGACGCTCGCAAGCAGGTTTCGGTGACCAAACACTTGGCCACTTCCACCACCAAGGACAGAGCATCGTTACCCAACTTTGTCTTATTGTCTTGGAAGGATCCGTTCAGAAGTTCTTTTATAACATCCTAGACAGAAATAAATAAGCTATGTTTTACGAATGACTTTTTTCGGCCTATTGCAGTAATTATTTGGCAATATCGAAACCGTATAGCAATGTCATCAAATTAAAAAATATTTCTACTAAAGGCTACTATGAACTTTACTTCTTAATTTTACTACAATACAATTTATGTCGCCCGAGTAATTATTATTAGTGCGCAATACGTACCTGTTTTATGGTATGCTTCACATTAGATGTTACGGACGCAGGATCAATACTGTCCTCGTCGTTCTCGTTGCTATTACGAGCCATTTTCAATGTATTATCACTTACGAATTTGGAAAATTATTTACAAATAAATCAAATCGTCGATGTCGGAAGACAAAAACCTTTCACAAATAAATAATTGACCCGCCTAAAGCGACATTCCTATTCTTGTTTCTTACAGTTGTACGAAATTTAGCTTATCCATTATCTTGTTTTCTGTTTTTCAAGGCTAATTTAAAGGAGTAATCAATAAAAGTGATGTTCAAAATATAATTATCACAACGCAGGAACTGGAACGCACAAAACAATGACGTTTTGTGGTTCGTTTAGAAATTACAATTGTTATGATACTGGCCAAATGGAATTACTCTAAGGAGTCCAAGAGTTTTATTCAAAATAGAGAAAATGCTCTATTTCATTAGCAAAGTAATAAAATAAATCAGGAGGGTGCGGAAGTCAGATTCCTCTGCAGCCTGCCTCAAGATGCACCGAGGAGTGAGATGTTGATCTCGTCTGTGAGGAGGCGCGCCTGAACACAATGCGTCCTGTCTCGGGTCCTTTAAAACGGCATAATGGGGACTTCCCCAGGTCCGCCGTCCCCGACCCATTTAGGGGGGTGGCAAGAGAGCAATTTCTGCTCTCCTTCGACGCCCGGTGACTGCGCCTACTGCGGGAAGGTAGAGAAGTTGTGATTTTCCTTTCCCACTCCGCAGCCTTCTTCCGCGGATTTACGTGTCTAGTCTAGACAAAACCTTAAGTAAGACATTGATAACAGAGCAAAAACTCAATATCAGAACTTTATATCTCCCCCATCTCTCCCTCTCTCTTCAAAGTCAAAGTCAAAGCATTTATTTCAATTAAACCATAGTTTGGTACTTTTGAAACGTCAACAAATACAAAATAAATAATAGTCTGTCAGTCAGTACGTCAGTGAAGCTAGGTGAAGCTAGGTGCTCATTCCAAAACGTAGATTCGAATGGAGAAGAACGAGCAAGAAACTCCATTCGTTACTCTTTTAAAAAAGTATGTTCTACAATGTCTCTGATACATATTTCAATACTGTACGCATATGTAAGAACAATGCAAAGACACGCTTGACGCATTATACTACTAACTCTCTTTCCTCAGGCGTCCCCGATAAAAGAAAAGAAATTATACTTTTATGGTTTGTTCAACGGCCTACACCGAAATGATTATGAGACAAGGCCGGAGCAGCTTTGGCGTCTTAGACTCTCATATCAGTGAATAATACTGAGACTTGGCGTGGAAAAGACAGTTGGTAAACGTCATGCTTTAAAAAATCGTAATTGTTATAGAATGCTATATTGCTATTAGATATTTAACTTTATACTTTTTAATACATTAAAATGTCAATATTTATGTTTGTTGTTGCCAAAGAGTATAATAAGTATAGGGATTTGTTGCCATGGGAACTAGAAAAATAAATTTGGGAAGAAAAAATACAAAATTCACAGTTAATCAGCCTTTATTAGAATTTTAATAAAAAATCGTTTAGATTTCAGTAATTGAATCAACGCCGGGTACACACAAATATAAAGATTTAAAACAATAATAAATATTATACAAACAAATTATAAAACATTCTCTTCATAGATGGCTCTATTGGTATAGTAAATATATAAAATATATTTACGTAAATTACCTATATACTAGAGGTACAATAAAAAATTATTGCATGTATAATTATTATTGTTTAAATAATCAAACGCCACTTAATTTTAAGATAATTTGATAATCAGATTTAGAAGAGAATTGTATTTTCTGATATAACACAATATTTCAGGATAAAAACTTAAAATTGAATAGCATTACAGTATTCAGGCACTCATGATTTTTATACATTTCAATAATTGCAATTTGTACTAATATTCGTCCTGCAATATATTGTGTGTCCCGGCAATAACTCAGCAGAGTTGTAACAGATACAGCATCCGGGTTGTAATTTCATCCTTAGTTTTGTCTGTCAAACTCTCAGCGATCAAGTTGACAATATTTTTCTCATTAAATATTTCTAGGACGGTCTTATCTTGTCTTTCTTCTGGGGACAGGTGTTCCTTTAATATTTCTAATATTAATTTGTCCTCGTCTCTTTTCCATTCTGGCCTCTCAATCTTCACTCCTCCCTCATCGTACGAGAGCCTTATAGAAGAGTTGGAACTGTCATTGAAGTCCTGTACTTCAGTTTTGCTGACAGTGACCACGAGTGCTACATTCTGATTCTCCGATGTTGGTGTTACATACTGCGTTGTTTCTTCGCTCTCCTGTAATGAAAGCAATGATAATTTAACACATTTTTACGCCATCTGTACCAAATCACATAACATAACATCACGCCTTTTATCCCCGAAGGGGTAGGCAGAGGTGCACATTACGGCATTTAATGCCACTGTACAAT